CAATACACCTTTGCCTTCCTACCTCAGGGGTATACCAACTCTTCAGCCTTCTGTCATAATCTGTTTTACAGGGATATTGATTGCTTTTCCCTTCCACAAGATATCACCCTGTTCACTTCATTGATGGCATTATGTTAATTGGACGTAGTGAGCAAGAAGTAACAACCACTATGGATTTATTGGCAAGACATGTGCATTGTCAGGGGCCTGGAAATAAATCCAACTAAACTTCAAGGCCTTCTATCTCCATGAAATTTCTAAGGGTCCCATGATGTAGGGCCTGTAAAGATAGCCCATCTAAAGTAAACGATGAGTTGTTGGCATCTGGCCCCTCCTACAACTGAGAAAGAAGCACAATGCCTAGTGGACCTATTTGGATTATAAAGGCAACATATTTGGGTGTGTTACCCTAGCCCATTTACTGGGTAATACAAAACCCTGCTAGTTATGAGTGGGGCACAGAATAGGAAAAGACTTTGCAACAGGTCCAGGCTGCTATGCAAGCTACTCTGCCACTTGGGCCATGTGACCCAAGAGCTCCAATGGTCCTTGCTGTATCAGTGGCAGATAGGTATGCTGTTTGGAGCCTTTGGCAGGGCCCTACGGGTGAATCACAATAGAGATCTTTAGGATTCTGGAATGAGGCCTGGCATCATCTGTAGATAACTACTCTCCTTTTGAGAGATAGCTCTTGACCTGCTACTAGGCCTTAGTAAAAGCTGAATGCTTGGCCTTGGACCAGCAAATTACCATGTGACCTGAACTGCCTACCATTAACTGGGTGTTATTTGGCCCATTAAGCCATATAGTTGGGGAGACACAGTAGTATTCTATCGTCAGATGGTACTGGTATACACATGATTGGGCTGAAGCAGGTCCTGAAGGCACAATGGTAAGTTACATGAAGCAGCCCAAATGCCCATAGTCCTCACTCCTTCTACATTGCCTCCTCTCTCCCAGTTTGTACTATGCCTTCATGGGGAGTTCCCCACAATCAGTTGACAGAGGATGAGAATACCTGGTCCAGTGGTTTGGCTGAATGGTCAAGGACTTGGAAGAAACATAATTGGAATATTGATAGTACAGAAATTTGGGGAAGAGTTATATGTACAGACCTCTCTGAGTGGGCAAAAAATGTAAAAATATTTGTGTTCCATATGAATACTCACCAAAAGGTGACCTCAGCACAGGAGGGTGTTAATAATCAAGTGAATAGGATGACTCATTCTGTGGATACCAGTCAGCCTCCTCCTCAGTTACCATTGGCATTGCCCAATGAGCTCATGAACAAAGTGACCATGGTGGTAGGTATCGAGGTGATTCATGGGCTCAGCAACATGGGCTTCCATTCACCAAGACTGATCTGGCTACTGCCTCGCCATAGACTGAGCACTCACAGACCAACAGTGAGCACTCAGAGACTAACAGTGAGCCCTAATATGGCATCATCCCCCAGGGCAGATTGATTCCATCAGACTATTTCCATCACAGAAGGGGCAGCATTTTGTCTTTACTGGCATAAACACTTACTATGGATATGGATTTGTCTTCCCTGCATACAATGCTATTGCCAAAACTACCATCTGTAGACTTATGTAATGGCTTATTCACCGCCATCCTATTCCACACAGCATTGTTTCTGACCAAGGAACTCACTTCACAAGGAAAAAGTGCAGCAATCAGCTCATTCTCATAGAATTCACTGGTCTTAACATGTTTCCTATTATGCTGAAGAAGCTGGCTTCTACAGTACCAGTTAGGTGACAATATTTTACAGGGCTGAGACAGATTTTTCCAGAAGGCTGTATATGTTCTGAATCAGCATCAAATATATGGTACTGTTTCTCCCATAGCCAGGAGTCATAGGTCTGGGAATCAATGGGTAGAAATGGAAGTAGAACTACTTACCATCACCCCTAGTGACCCACTAGCAAAATTTTTTCTCACTGTTCCTGCAATATTATGTTCTTCTGACCTAGTTATGAAGGGAACTTGGTTCCAGAGGGAGGAATACTTCTACTAGGAGACACAAAAATGATTCCATTGAACTGGGAATTAAAACTGTGACTCAGCTGCTTTGAGTTCCTCATGATTCTTGAGTCAACAGGCTAAAAAGGGAGTTAGGGTGCTGGCTAGGGTGATTGATCTAGGCTACTAAGGGGAAATTGGCCTATTGCTCCACAGTGGAGATAAAGAATAGTATTTCTGGAATACAGAAGATTCCTTAGAGAAGCTATTACTATTACCCTGTCCTGTGATGAAGGTCAATGGGAAACTACAACCACTCAATATAGGCTGGACTGTGAATTGCCCAGACTCTTTAGGAATGAAGGTTTGGGTCACCCTGCCAGGCAAAGAACCATGACCAGCTGAAGTGCTTACTGAAGGCAAATGGAATACAGAATGGGTAGTAGAAGACATGTATAAACACCATATACAGCCATGTGGCCAGATACAGAAATGAGGACTGTAATTTTCATAAGTATTTCCTATTTTGTTAAGAACACATTTGTATGTATATTAACATGTCTTAAGCAAGTATCTTTGTTTTCTTTTGTCTCTTTCTCCTTTATCACATAACATAAGATTTATTGACAATATCAGCCTTTGAATATTGTTAATTTTATAATTTTATATCAGATTTGAGTTGCAGGAGATCAGAAGAGTAAACAACACTCATGAACTTTATCTTTTCTTCTGAGGATGGGATTAGTACATGTTGACTTGTAAACAGGATAGTTTTACCATGTTGGACAGAATTATGACCTTTTTATAGTCTTCATTTGGAGATTAGGTGTGGTTTAAAGAGGTGCATAATGGGTGCCAAGCTGGCAAGGGATAGACTTGTGATGGGTAATTTTGCGTACCAACTTGACTGGATTGAGGGATGCCTAGATGGCTAGTGAAGCATTGTTTTGGGGTGTGCCTAGGTGACTGTTTCCAGAGAAGATTAACCTATGAGTCAGTGGACTGAGAGAGAAGACCTACCCTGAATGTGGGCGGGCACCATCCAATCAGCTGGGGGAGCAGCTGGGACAAAGCAGGTAGAAAAAAGGAGACACTCAGCTTGCTCTGGCTTTCTCTCTCTCCCTTTCTGAGTAGGAAACTTCCATCACAGAAGGTGCTGTTTATCCTCCTTCCCTTGGACATTCAGCTCCAGGTTCTTCAGCCTTTGGACCCTGAGACTTGTACAGACAGCCTCCTGGGAGCGGGGTGGTCTAAGGCCTTCAGCCTCAGGCTGGGGCTCCACTGTTCACTTTCCTGGTTTCTAGGCTTTTGAATTTGGACTGAGTCAAGCCACCAGCTTTTCTGGCTCTCCAGCTTGCAGATGGCCCATCATGGGACTTTGCCTTTGTGACTGCATGAGGCAATTCTCCCTAATACATTTCATTCCACATGTATTCCTTATTGTTTCTGTCCCTCTGGAGAACCTTGACTAATCTGATGATATTTTATAGACAAGTTTTCCACCTCCCATGAGAAGGCAAGGACAGATAGAAGAAATAAATACACTTATTTGTGAAATACATTATTCAGTACTGGACATCAGCCATTCTTAGCTAATTAATTATTGGAGTGCTCCTACTAGTCTAGCTTAGTTAACTATTAAGTAAACTGATAACAGTAAAAGAAGATGTAGGAAAGCAGCTCTTAAAAACCAGACTTTTTCCAGGAAGAAATAACTTAGCTAACCTTAAGCTGAATTATGTAGAAAACAAGTCAATTTCAAATCCAACCAAAACAGTACAATAAACCGTATATGTTCTGAGAGACCAAAATAAATGCCCACTTATTAACTAAGATGAACCCTAAGGTTAAGGAAACAAAAGTTACTTTCAGGTTGAGTGTTGAGAGCTTGACTGTCATGGAAACTTCCTAAATTCCTATGGCTACAAGAAAAACCACACTCTTGCTAAACTCCCTAACAATAAGAGATATCAGAAAAATTGTCAGACCCTTCCTAACTGATTTATAGTCCACACCACTACAACTTTGAGAAGACTGAGGGCCAATCTTACATTCTTTCCTGAGAAGTAACTGAAGATCTCAAGCCAGTGTTGGCCAACTTGCAGAGACTGTCCACAAACTGTCTTTGTATCCTATATTTCTTTAACAGAAAGAGCCAAATTCCTCCTCACTTTAATGCTAAATCCTCACCCCAGAATAAACATGGGATGTACATTACATATATGTTTACCTATTGGGCATGTGCTTGACTCTGCTAATAAATATGTATAGCTTTTTCCCCAAACCTGCTAAATATGTATGCCTCTATTGTGTAATACAGACTCTGTGAGGCAACTACCCTTTCCCTCTTAGAAGAGAGAGCATCTTTGGTACACACTGGAGACTGTCTCTTCCCAATTTGCAAACTGATATGCCAGTAAAACTCACCTTTCTACTATTTGGCCAACCTGGTGGGTTTTTGGATGATACATTTCATCCCTGCCATTCACTCTCACTATAAATATAAATATGTTTTCAAAGATGTCTATCCCTTAGGACAAATGGTAGAATTAACATAAAAGATAATTTTTTAAAAATTTGCACTACCTTTCTGACGGTTTAGAAAAGGGACAATCTAAGGTGAAAACAGGTGGACTAGGCTTTATTGTAGAAATGACAGAATTAGCAGTTAGTTGCTCAAAGAAAATTTATTGGCACTCGGTAAAGACAAATGCCACAAAATCCCATTGAAACAGATATTTGAAAGCACAAGGTGCTGATGTAGCCACTAGATGAATCTGTTCGATAGTGGTTGAGCCCGGTGAATTAAGGAGTTTACAGCTGTTATTTATATGGCTCATGATGCTTATTGAGCAATCTGCAAAAATGGATTCCCTTTCTCACACAGGACAAGGTAGATTTCCAGCAAGCATATCAAAATCGCCAAGTCTTTTGGTCAAATTAGAGCTGCCACCTTTTGCATGAGGTTTTACTTAAAGGTGTTTACTGATGGATAAACTCACACTTCTGTGAACTGGTTCTTGCTTCTGAAAAAAAAAAGGGTACTTATTTTAATAATTTAGAGAAAATGTTGTAAAGAAGTTGTGAAAAAAATGTAATACCCATTTATAATCAGCCATGATTGTAAAAAATTACTGTGGTAAAATTATGAAGAGAAACATAGTTGACATATTTTCCTTAATTTTTAATATACTTTGCTTTTGCTATTGAAACTTTTATTCATCAGTGGTGATCTTAAGATGATTCATTTTTTTATAATTCAACTTACTTTTTACTCTACTTGAATTATTGCCTGGATTCCTATAGAGTCCAACTCTAGTTGTCATCAGCTAGAGCAGACACTCTCAGAATCTAATGAGAGATTATCTTGAAACCTATTAATATTGTCTGCTAACAAATAGTATGCAAATACTTGGATGTAGAATTTTATTATGTAAAGAAATGATATTCTATCTGTGATTTATTTTCAAAATAAAATAGAATAAAATCATGTTTCCTTTTCCTTTATCCACAGAAAATATCTTTCTCCTATTAAAAAAATGTTGAAATATGCTAACAACAATAAAGTTTCTGATTGACTTACAGACCTGGAAGGGCTAATGCTGTCACATAGGTTATAACATGATTTTCAGGTGGAATTGTGCTCTATCATTCCTTAATCTCCTGAAAAGGCATCAAGAAAATTATTAAGTCTTGTGTGTATGTGTATATGTGTATGTGTGTGTATCTGACAAGTTATAATCATTCCCAATATGATCTTAATTTTTTGTAATTTAATATAAAAATCATAAATAATTTCTTTAACTCATAAGGATTTGGTAAACTCATAAGCATTAAGATGAACTATAGAAGGACAATTTTGGCTACATGTGGGTTTTAGAACAATCCTAAACTCATTGAGATTAGGTTTCTTCTCTTTACTATTTACCAGACTTTATATTGATTCCATTTCCAGTTTAGTAGAGTTAGGGAAATACACTTTTAAGGAAAGAATATTGTACATTGAAAAAAGCATACTGAAACATAAATGCTGAAAGTTACACCATAAGAATTAGTTATATTTATTTATTTGCACACAAATGTGGCATAGATTTTGTGCATCAACACAACAAATGTCATAAGCTCTGAGTGATACAAGTAAAATAATAGTAAAGACAGTATTGGCTAAAATTGTTAATCATAACAATGAGATATGACACAGAGAAAGAAAAAAATCTATAATACTCAATAAGGACCATCTGCTAGGGTTCCCGTTAAACAAATGGGAGGGACAAAATGCATACCTTGGATGAAGAGGATTAGTGGAATCTTCTGGAATTAACTTCTAAAATCCTGACTATATCTAACTATGAGCAAATATCTCAGAGTTACTCCAAGACAGTTGAGCTTCACAGACCACCCCTACTCATAAATTTAGTATAGAGTACATCATCTGATAACTCATCTTCCTGCCAACCCAGATCCTTTCTTGTCCTAGTCCTGCCACTCTTGGGAAAACGTTTTATCATCACCAAGCCAGCTAATAATCTCTATGGGAATGCAGGCATGCTCCTTCTACCTTCTTTCTTACTTTTGTCATCCATGCAAATACAGTGGACGGGACACACACACACACACACACACACACACACACACACATTCTCTCTCCTTCTCTCTCTTTTTCATACACGCACACAGACTCACACACACAATATCACTTAAAATACCCTTAAGTTCTGCTGCTGTCAGAATCCTTCCATCAGTAGATTCGGAGCACACTTTTTGCTCTGGAGGGAAGTTTAGAGAATTTAACTAAACCAACCCATCATAATTAACTTATAGAACATGATACAGGTTACTGTTTTTGAATTTAAGCAAAATGGCTGAAAAGTCCCACCTTTTCAAAAATTTTGTGATGTTAGACAAATAATTTAGGTTCTCTGAGTGAGCTTCACTTTTGTCAGACTAAAATTCTTTTCTTGTATAGTTAGCTGTAATTTTTTTTTTTGTATAGACGGCCAATGGGTGAATAAATAAATGATATAAAATTTCACTCCCAAATTCATAATTTTCCACTTTTAAAAATAAAAATATCTGTGAGATATAACTAATCTTATGAGTACATGTGTAAGCTCATTGGATAAATTGTGCTAAGATTAAACAGAGGTAGATTTGATGAAGCAATTATCCTAGTCTTTGGGGTAAGGTTTCACAGGAAATTCTTTCCTCTTTCTGTCTTTACTCCTACCATGTATCTATACCATAGAATTTTCTGTGTGCTATATGAAACCATGAAAAGAAATGAGAAAGTTAGATTCATTTGTAATACTTGTATACACCTGTGATGGAGACTTACTTCACTGCCTTAGACCTCAGTTCTCACCTTGGATTTAGATATGAAAATATCTAAATTGTGAGGTTATTTGTCTGACTAAACGGGATAGTGACTGTAATAAAACTCAGTGTATTTCCTGGAACATAAACATGTAGTTAGTATAATATGAATTGATTTGGCATTAACACCAATATAATTACAAAGATCATTTACAATACATAATATACAATATTGCATTTTAAGAATATAAACAATATATAAAGTTTAGTGAACTCTCATAATATATTAAAATACTATGCTAATCATAAGGCAGATTTGATCTTTTAATAATGTTAATACTTTCCCATCAATTTTAAATGTTTCTCTTACTTCTAGTGAAAAACACTCCTAGTTTTGTTTTTAAATTTTTTAACCAGTGATATAAAACCTATTCCCATTTTTTTGTTTCCCACTGAGAAAATTTATGAGCTTTTCTAGCAAAAATATAATTTAAATAAACCATAAAATGTTAAAAAAATAAGCAACCATCTAACTCAGTAACTCATGTGATATTTTCTAATTACAAATGTAGGTCATAGGTACAGTGATTAAGATTTTGAAAAATGTCCTGAGGGTAATGAGGAAATTAATATTTTTAGAAATTCTAATGAAGTTGAAAATAACAGACAAATCATGATCAACCCAGACAATATGCAGCATTGCATATTATGTAGGGTACATGATTTTTGTTTGAAGAATTATAGATGTCATTTTAGGGAAACCATCAGGCTTTTGCTTTGTTGAATTGATTAATCTTTAGACCAGAACTAAATCGTTCTGAAAAATTGGGAGTATTTTAGAAGCAGAATGAGAAGAGAGATGGACAGAGACCTGAAATCAAGAGGAACAGAAACCTGTAGGTTTTGGAGAGAGAAGAGAAGAGTGGTGACAAAAGAAGGGATTTCTGTTCTTCAAGGTGTAAAGTTAAGACAACAGAGCATCCAATAATTTGGAAGTACTTTTAGTACTTGGAGCTGGGCCAGTTATTGGGGGTATATGACAAAGTCTTGAGTCTGTCCTTGGTGTGAACATTACACATGAACCCAGTCAAATTCTGGTCACACATCAAACTCCTATTAGATGAGAGCGGCACCAGAATGAGAGAACTGTCTCTGAGAGCTGTTCCATACCTTGTACCCAAAGACTTTAGCTTACTCTGCCCTATCATCTCTGTTCGACAGTGCAACATCCAACCCAATACTCCCTTCCCCATTATTACCTCTACTTCCCAAATTTCTGTACTTCTTGTCCCAGAGTTTTCAGAAGCCACAAAACTCCCATGCACTCTTGCGTGCATTACTTATATTGCAAAGTACAATTAGAGCAAGTGACTAGGTTTGAGGTATCAGAAAACATAGCAAATGCAGACATAAAACATGAGCAGAAACTTTTGGGGAACAACCCTTACATTCAGTCTGCCCTTTTGTGATTTATTAGATTTTTAAGGTCATTTAGCTAACAAACAAAAACATAGTACCAAATAGTGGGTAATACTATTTCATTTATGTGGACTCACCATTAACATCAGACTTCCACAAAGTGGAACCAACTTTCCTCTAATCAACATTGACAGAGCTCTTACCTAGCCCTGAGTAGGAGGCACCAGAAATCTGATGCTAAGCACCTCTTGACTTCTGCTCTCAAGAAAAAAAGGTGATAGGCATTTGTTTGCACTGGTACATCGGGGGTCTCTATAAATATTTTTGTAATGATTTGATTAGTGGTTCTCAACCTTTTGTCAAAATCCATAGTTTTTACATTTGAAACATACTCCAATCATATCTCATAATACACAGTGGCTCTCATTGCATAGAGAAATGGTGCATGCACCCAAAGCAGAATGCCAGAACCTCGATAAGCCACGTGTAGTTAAATGTCCTGTCCAGCTCCACTCTCTTACTAGAACTCTAATTTGGGTAGGCCTCCTGCAAATGCATTTCTCACTTCTTATTTTGAGAATGCAAGGTAGAATATGATAAGCAGTCTAACTACACTACAGTATGAAAGAGATAGCTATGTTTATAAAACTAAGTGATAGGCTTCTTGGAGAAGATGGCATTTTAATTGAATCTTGGAAAACAGGTAGGATTTTAATAAGCAGAATGGAGGAGGGGGCCCAGGAAAAGCATTCTATGAGGAGGGAAGAACAAAACCAAAGGTAGAGACATAGGAAAACATAGGCGTAGCTAGACTTCAAGTTGTATGAAGAGTAACCTTATGTTCCAGGACCAGTCATGACCTTGTCCACTGGTCTTCCCAGGAGTAGACAGCAAACATTCCAGAGTACAGCAGTATGAACCAAGATATAGATATCATGCAGGATAGATACAATGGAACTGTCCTATCCCTAGATGGATATAACTACAAAGGTTCCCATTGCCATTTCCTGACTTCATCCTGCCAAGGTGAAGCTGGCTCAGATTTAGATCTGTACTTGGCTTGTCCTGACCATGAGCTGATATTTCCTGCTCTTCCCCTACACGTCTTGTTGCACTGATTTAAATGCACAAAAGTGTTCTACCTGGATCTTCCTCTGTGAACTGGAGAAAGGTCATGTTGAACTTTAAAAAATAGTAGTCCAGATGATGCTGATAGGCTGCCCAGGTTGAAAACTATTGAGTTTATACCTTTGTAATAAAGGAATGAGTGAATGAATGGATAACACACAAGCACACACTCACCATTCAAACAATTATTTAAGCTCTTCTAGGGTTAAGTGACTGAATATCGCTTCTTAGAACTTCATGATTCTTATCTTCTGAAAGTTCCACTCTATCAAATGCATACTCCTGCTCTATTGTACTGCTAACATGATGTAGAACATGATCTGAAGATGAAGCTGAAGAGGTTAAATTGGAAATAGGAACAATAAAGGAAATGTATAATATAATAATTCATTTAATTTACTAATAATTTAAAAAATATAAAATTACTAACATGATCTCATTTAAACTTCTAATTACATTTTGAACCATAATTAGAGAATGATAGCAAGCTCTAGTTTTTATTTCTGAAAGACTTTGTTTTCCTCTGTTTGATTATTTGTCCCTTTTGAAATCTAAAATGTACGCGTATATTCTCTCAGAATTGCTTAGGATTCAGTCCTGGGAACTTAGAAGTTATAATGTAAACCGAAGTAGGCTTTACATGAAGGGTTTTGATTGAATTAAAAAGATAGTGGAAAGGAATAGCAAATATTTTACAAACACATGCCTTATAAACACAACTTTTTAAAGTAATTCAATACAAAGCAACATTGACATGTTTTCGTTACTTTCAAAAAATCAATTTTTACTTTCTCTAAGCAACAGAGTGAGGCCCACTGGTGAGTACTAATAGGCATTGCTGGCAAATAGAAAAAAAAAAATGTGCTCAGAAAGCTCACAGAGACACATGAGATAAAAACTACAGATAAATACCACAGGGGAATGTAGGTCTTTGAGAGTCACTGCTCTGTAACTGGTTTGGGTGGGGTGCCAAGGCTAACACTGCTATTCATTCTCCCTGAGCAGCTTGTTATCTAGCAGTACTAAACGTGATTAGAAAAATATTCACTGAAAAAGCCTCTCTAAGTGTCCACAGAATCAGAGCTTGGGAATGGAGCCAGAAGCCATTCAGCCTTATTTCCTGATGACGTCCATGGACACAGACCTAAGTTTTTCACAGAGAAGCAAAGGAGGAATATAAAGGCGGTACTCAGATTGATTACTTATTTATTATTCCAATAACAACTTTTTCACATGCACTGAAAGCAAAAGGAAGACTCGGCCTGATTCAAACTGTGATACTTTTCAGAAGGAGCAAGAGAAACTCTGAGAGTCAATTAGGGGAGGGTAAAACAACTGTTTCTTGCATTTATTTTAAAAGTTCTCTACATTACACACTGCACAAAAAGAAGGGCAAATTCACTATTTATACTGTTACAATCCTCAAGTTTTTAAGCTGGCTTTTATAATCCTTTAAGTATTTTCTTGGAAGAAATAGTTTACATAATTCAATTAACACCTTAAGATTGTTCTACACGTTGCATAAAACAGAACAGGTTGTCTCATTTGTTTTATATTTATTTTATTTTCATTATACTTTAAGTTCTGGGATACATGTGCAGAATGTGTAGGTTTGTTACAGAAGTGTACACATGCCATGGTAATTTGCTGCACCCATCAACCTGTCATCTACATTAGGTATTTCTCTTAATGCTATCCCTCCCCTAGCCCACCACCCTCTGACAGGCCCTGGTGTATGATGTTCCCTTCCCTGTATCCATGTGTTCTCATTGTTCAACTCCCACTTATGAGTGATAACATGCTGTATTTGGTTTTCTGTTCCTGTGTTAGTTTACTGAGAATGATGGTCTCCAGCTTCATCCAAGTCCCTGCAAAGGACATGAACTCAACCTTTTTAATGGCTGCATAGTATTCCATTGAGTATATGTGCCACATTTTCTTTATCCAGTTTATCATTGATGGGCATTTGGGTTGGTTCCAAGTCTTTGCTATTGTGAACAGTGATACAATAAACATACATATGCATGTATCTTTATAGTAGAATGATTTATAACCCTTTGGATACATACCCAGTAATGGGAATGCTGGGTCAAATGGTGTTTCTAGTTCTAGATCCTTGAGGAATCACCACACTGTCTTCCACAATGATTGAACTAATTGACACTCCCACCAACAGTGTAAAAGCATTCCTATTTCTCCATATCCTCTCTAATATCTGTTGTTTCCTGATTTTTTAATGATCGCCATTCTAACTGGTGTGAGATGGTATCTCATTGTGGTTTTGGTTTGTGTTTCTCTAACGACCAGTGACAATGAGCTTTTTTTCATATGTTTGTTGGCCACATAAATGTCTTCCTTTGAAAAGTGTCTGTTCGTATCCTTCACCCACTTTTTGATGGGGTTGTTTGTTTGTAAATTTGTTTAAGTTCTTTATAGATTCTGGATATTAACCCTTTGTCAGATGGCTAGATTGCCAAAATTTTCTCCCATTCTGTAGGTTGCCTGTTCACTCTGATGGTAGTTTCTTTTGATGATAGTTTCTTTTGCTATGCAGAAGCTCTTTAGTTTTGTATAAAGTATAAGGAAGGGGTCCAGTTTCAGTTTTCTGCATATGGCTAGCCAGTTTTCCCAACACCATTTATTAAATAAGGAATCCTTTCCCTATTGCTTTTGTGAGGGTTGTCAAAGATCAGATGGTTGTAGATGTGTGGTGTTATTTCTGAGGCCTCTGTTCTGTTCCATTGGTCTGTATATCTGTTTTGGTACCAGTTTCATGCTGTTGTGATTACTGTAGCCTTGTAGTATAGTTTGAAGTCAGGTAGCATGATGCCTCCAGCTTTGTTCTTTCATTCGGATTTCCCCATAATAAAAAATGTCTCTTTTGTTGCTCAGTTTCCTCCTGAAATATGTCTTTGACATTATTAACCTCAATGGATATAAAATTATGCATTTAATTTGTATCACATGATTCAGTTCCATCACATTAAATCACTTAATTAAAAGAAATTGTAAGAAATTATAATTAATTATAATTAAAATTATATAATTAAATTATAATAATTTATAGAAATTATAATAAATTAAAAGAAATTATAATTAAAAGAAAAAATAAGCTTCTAATCATTTTTCTGTAAAGTGATGAAACATACTTGATAAATGTTCTTTGAATAATAGTATTTTAAATACACTTAATTTAGTAATCACACATTGTTTTTCACTTCTCTCCTGAAACAACTACAAAAGCTTATTGTGTGTCTTGATGAGCTGATACTGTGAATTATTAGCTGATCTGGTTTTGTTTCTACTTGTTTGTTACCACAGGCTCATGCCTATTTAGACAAGGAGACACAGGGGTTGTTACCAAGCTACCCCAGAAACAAAGGCGTCTATCCTTTGTCTTCAAATTCAAAAGCCACATCCATGCATGGCTAAAGGGTTTTTGGAAAATACTTAATCAAGTTCTACCTTCCCACCCATACTTGCAGAGGGGATCCAGGTTTCTCACTCCCTGGACATGGATCTAGGTTTTCCCCAAGAGAAGCAAAAAGGGGTATGAAGGTGCCATTCAAATTGGAGGAGGGAAAAGTTTAACTCCTTACCCTTCCAGTGACATTTTTTTCACCCCCTATGAAACCAAAAGTAAGGTATAAGGGAGAAAAGAGTTGGAAGATTCAAGAGACTTAGACAGTTATAGTCTCTGAGACGGGACCTGCTCTCTGAATTTGGCCATCCCTGTGCTTTTTGAGTTATTTCCGAGAGGAAAGCAAGAAAGAATTCTGAGGAAAAAGTCAGGGATCCAGGGGTTAGAGAATATCTTTGTCATGTTCCCTTATCCAGCATTCTGAACAAGGTGGGTGTTCTCAGCGTGCAAGGAATAGAGGAGGGGCGGCTGTGTAGAATGTCAGGGCAGGAGAGCCTGAGAGAGTGCCTGCAGTATTCAGTCAACCCCAGTGACTCTGTGATGTGAAGAGCAGCCTGTCCTTCAGCCCTGAGAAGTACAATGAGAAGGAGAATAAAAGAGAGCAAGCAAGCTGTGGAAATCAAAGATGTGGGGACCTGCATTGGGGAAGCAAGGGGTCAGAGTCAGAAGGTAATACAAGCCAAAAACCAGTGGGGGCTGTCTGTCTGGAAAGATGAGAGAGAGGCCAGAGGTCAAGCAAGGACCTGATGCTCATCCGAAATCCATTAATACCACGACGCTAGTCCCCAGGGACTGTAACACCATCTAAAGAAGGAGGAAAGAGAGGTCAGAAACACTGGATTGACCAGGCTTACTCTGATTCAGTCAAAACACTTAAATGATAAGCTTTTATTTTCTTCAAACAGGTAGCATGGGGACATAGCTAGAAACAATGTTTGGTCATAGAGAAATAATGAAAGGTATATTATTTATGCACCTGATTTGTGGCCTAAGGATATGATATGTACAGACTTAAACAAAATACTAATATTTAAAAAATATTTGTGCAGTACTTGGATTTTTTTCCTGTCTCATGTTTTCTGCAAAATCCAAAAAATTCCTGCTGAAACAGAACAACATTTGTGTTGTCACGGATAAATTTTAAAAAGCATCTTGTTGAGTGGAAAGCAATTCATAAAGGAATATATATGGCACAGTTCCATTTATATTGTTTTAAAACAGACAAAACTGAACTATACATTGTTTAAAATTATATAAAGAGGGATAACAGCTTAAAAAAAGAATGATTATCACAAAATTCAAAATAGTAATCAGCTCATGGGTGGAAGAGATGGAAATAAATGATTAGAGAAGGCATCGAGAGGACTCCAAGGGCATGGCAAGATCATGTATTTCATATTTTGGGGTCTAGATGGTAGATTTTCTACCTCTCTCCTTCCTTCTTCCCTTCTCCTCCTTTCTCCACCCCCTCCTCTCTCTCTCCCTCCCTCCCTCTTGCTCTCTTTCTCTCTCTTTCTTCCCCACCTACTGCAGATAATCATTTGAATTCCTACTTCGTGCCAGTCTCTGTTCAAAGAGCTTGGGATACATCAGAGATAGAAACAAACGTCCTTTTTTAAATGAACCTTATTTTTAAGGGGGTGAAACAGATAATAAAAATGAAGCATAATAGATCAACTATTTATAAGCTAGACAGGAATAAATGCCATGGGAAAGTACTTGAGGAGGAAATCAGAAGGGCAAGGGAGGGCTGTGGGTGGAATTTGAAATTTTTGCCAGCCTTGCTGACAAGGTTACAATGTAAGCTAGACTTGAAGGAGGACAGGAAAGCAGCCTCATAGTATTTGGGGGTAAAATGTTTCTGACAGAGAAATGCTGTAAAAAACTCCTACAGCAGGAAATACCTGATGT